CTTAATAGCAAATAAAATTTATCATGAAGTCATATGCTGACTGACGTTTTTCATACTAATTGTTAGTCCATTATTTACACACTGGATTGACGACGGATTTTCCTCTATTTCCTGATCATGACAAGGAGCATACGTACGTCAGGTGTGACCGGTCAGCGAATACTTACTCCTCCATGGCACTTGATCCCACTTCTGATGTTTTTGAGGCCTGTGTTTGCTCTGCTCCTGTTTTGTATTGTTTATAGACTTTTGATGTTGAATACTGATCGTTATCTTCACATGTTTCATACAATTATTCCCCAAGATAAATTAAAGTTCAGGCTATTTGACATCATATAGACAACTGGTTTTTCAATAAAATGTATCTCTGAAATTAACTTTTCTCATCATTATCTATTTGCAAAATTCTCTTGTTAAAAGACACTCTGATCAAAAGTACTTTGAAATTGATATTAAAAAGAAGTTTGACAATACCTAGATGCGCGAAGTTTTTGGAGATGGAATCTTCGAATGATTTTGTTGGATTTTCCGTGGTCATTATTCAATTGCCTCCCTTTATTAGGAGACCTATTTATTTATTCATATGAAGCAAACTTTATTCAAAAGGGTATACTTGTACATGAGAATATAAAAACATTTGCTGTGGGCCTAAACACTTATTCATATATCTATGGCACGCCAAATTCACAAAAATTAGCTAAACCTAGTTTCACAACAATTGATAAACTAGGTTTATCGACTGTAAACTATAGTTTACAAACCGTAAACTATAGTTAACAATTCGTTAAGTATAGTTTTCATCTGTAAAACTATATTTAACGGTTGTTAACTATAGTTTACGAATGCTAATCTAAGTTTATCTGTCTGTAATAAAACATTAACAATAGATTTTGTTGTTAAACATAGATTCACGTCTCTAAACTATAATTTACGATTGTTAACTATACTAGTTAAGAGTTGTAAACCATAGTTTACAATCGTGAAACTGTATTTATCAGATAATCTATGTTTTGCAATCGCAAATGATTGTTTTCGGTGTTAAGTATAGTTTACGGTTGTGAAACATAGATTATCGCTTTAACTATGATTTACGGATGTAAAATATAGATTAACGTTGTTAACTATAGTTTACAGTCCGTAAACTATAGTTTACAACCGATAAACCTAGTTTATCAACTGTGAAACTATGTTTTGCTCATTTTTGTGAATTTGGCGTGCCATATATATCAGTCAAATATATATGCAGGAAACAAACATCAATAACTAAAGCTCAAATGTCCATTAAGCAATGCAGTTTTAGGCAGAGCAAAAGCGGACAACTGAAATATCAGAAACACCAGATGTGGATCAGATGCCATGGAAGACTGAACATCCCCTGTCGACTGGTTATTTCAAGCTTATTGGAATGTATATCATTAACATAAGGATGGAAATAACAATTGTTCATTAACCTGTACATCATCGATATATCTAAATGTCGAGTTGAAGGCCACAACAAGTTTTCTTATTAGTTTAAAGACCCAATTTTTTTACCGTACGGTTACCTGGGGAGGGGGAGTGGTCCAAGTAACAGTGCTGTTATTTACCTGGAGACCCCCAATACCCAAGATGTCAAAAATCTATATACACGTAGCATTACACAGGAAGTCTGTGTCTGGTGATCAGGGTCAACATTCCGCGTTTCATGTCTAAATCGGAGTGAAACTGCTTGAAATAATTGAAATATTTCAATATAAAGTTTATTTAATTATACTTTCAGCGATATTTAATGAAGAAAAAAAGTTATTATAAAGAAATATCATTTTTCTATTTTAAAAAAAAAATGTAAAATTAAAGACAAGAACACAGAGTAAAACTACAAAGCAAACATTTCTTTTTTAATTAAACTTGTGTAAATATCAAAATTAAAAAAAAATTAAAATATTCCATTCATAGGCCTATCCGTTTTGTGAACATATATACAATGTGCCGCAGGAATATATATTGCCTACGTTCTGACCAACAATAGTGTCGAAAATATTCACCATTTCCGGGTGTTCGTGTGTTTAAAAATTTTTACTGTTTGCAAGATTTCTTTTATACTTTTAAGAATTGATCTTTGGCTTTATATATTCACTTTTTAACTTCGAATATTGGGTATTGACAGACGTTAGGAAATTCGAACGAAAAGTTACAATCTCGAAACGCATGTTTCTGACATTTCAATTACAACGGAACATGGTGTAGATTGTATTCAAATATACATTGATAAAACATTGGATAAAGGAATTTTTTATCCATGCCGTTTGTGCTAATATATCTTTTCTTATTTATCATATTCCAATTTTAATCGGCAAATAGCGTTTCTGTGCACGGACTGCTCTAAATTCTACAGCAGATATCTTGGACGACATATCGCCTAAAATACAATATAGCCGTTGAGATTGAAAGCAAATATTTTATGAAGTCATGTTTTAATTATCTGCTCTCAATTGTTTTTAAAAAAAAAATTACCAAGATTATTTTTTTTAACCCCCGTGTATACAAGGCGGCTACATGAAAGTGTTTGACGCGTGACCAGGCAATCGTTTTCAAAAGACACAAACTCAGACTATCAAGTAGCACGGGTAGCTGGCCTGTCAATCAAATCAGAAGCTATTGTTTTTTTAATGATTGACAGGCGGTAAATTATTGATCTTGAATCAGGTAGATTTTGGGGGCGTTAACATAAAATTGGGTGTTTAAGATTTTGAACAAATCCTGCTTCATATAAAGAGTATATACAGAATATGTCTTCTAACGGGGCGCAGTTGGAACCCATGAGAAACCCAATAAATTATTTGAAGACCTGGTTTCCATAAACTGAATTGATGATTGATTTTTTTCCGTCATTTTCCGATCATTACAAGGAGTACACAGCGGGTATGACCGGTCGGCAGGGGATGCTCGGTTTTTCACGGCACCTGATTCCACCTCTGATGCTTCGGAGGTCCGTGTTTGCTCTGCTCCTTTTTTGCAATGTCTTATGGACTTTTGAGTTTGAATACTATTTGTTATCTCCATATATTTCACAACTTCTCGAAATATACTAGTAGTGTTCTACAGTACTCGTCTTTAGTGAGGAGTAAAGAAAGAGGTTTGGTAAAACCTTTCCTGGGACACGTTTTAAATGTATGATTGTTAAGAATATCAAAATATTTAAAACCGACATAGAATTTTGGGGTTTTTCTCTTCAGAAAGGGAGCTATGGGTTTAAGTTCAATTACCACTTGTAGAATTAAATACAAGTTCCTCTAAAATACAAGCCTTATAAACAAAAAGGTTTGTTACCTGCTTTGTCAGCCGGGATCAGTACTTACTAATTGTGTAATCTAGAGTGCCTTTTTCACTTCTGAATAGTTGTTAGTAAATCTCAGCAAACACCTTATCAATTGTCCTAGATGTAGGTAAACCGAATATAAGATAAAAGATACATAAGGGCTTTGAAAGATCTTTGATTGTTATATATAAGGTCATTCGAAAGGTAAAGGTTAAAATAATTGACATAAAATAATTCCATACCTATTTTTTGCAGTGTCTAGAGCTTGCTTTAAAAAAGAAAATGATATTAAGGTATGTCACTCGTGAAATTTGTTAAATCAAGGATTCTTTTAGAAGTATATTTTGGATAAGTACTCATAAATTGTAACTCAAAATCACAGAGAAAATAGGGGGACAGTGTGCATCTTACTGATCTACCGTACAATTAAGTTGACCTTTTTGCACTTAGATTTTAACTCTTTGGTAATACTTTAACCTTTATCATACTTTATCAGATGTAACCATGGCAATAAATATAATTTTATTTTACGTAAAATAGCTTGAGTAATATTTATCATTGAATAAATTTTGCAAATTAATGCGCGTAAATTATTGTGTGACCTTTTTGCACTAAAAAATAACATATTTGGGGTATTAAAAAAGTAAATAGGCAATAAAACATTTTCTTAAATCAAGCTTTTTACGACTTACATTCTGATCAGTCACAAGTATTGAATACCTTAAAATAGTGAAAGAAAAAGTTGGGTCAGTGATGTTAATTTTGAAATATTGGTCAAAATATGCAATTTTCAGGCAAAAAATGGTGTAAATTTTATCATGACTTATTTGACACATCTTCTTTTTTGGCAAAGTTTATTGAAGGGAGTTGTAAAACTTGTTCTAAAAATATAAATTAAGACCTATATTAAATATTTCTAGCAATATCATAATGGAAAATATTCTCCAAATAAAAGTTTGAGAGGTTAAAGTTCCAAGATATCAAATTTAATAAATGTGCAGATTTGCAGAATTATCTGCTAAATATCCTTCCACCACAAGAAATAGTCCCTCATAAATCTTGCTTCTTTGTAGCTTTTTGAGCAGTTTTTTCGTTGAATGTTAAAACATTAACATTGCTTAATTTAAATATGTTATAAAAATTGAATTTTAATAAATAGTTTTGAAATTAGAGGTTCTGTGTACTTTTCTAAAAAGCTGACGAATGACATACCTTATAGGATAGCTCTAATTAAAGTTTTAAGAAGCCAAAATTATAGTTGGCTTTTACAGTTAGAATTACCATTTTTAAAGCTGGAAAGTTGGAATACATCCGTCTTCAGATACAGAAAAGCCAACTTTGAAAAAAGTTGAAATTACCACGACTTAAGTTGAAAAGGCCAAGATTAATGTTGGAATCAGCACATTTAAATTTTGTTAATTTTTTATGTGGCACTAATACGCTTCAGTAAAATATGAATATAAAAATACTTCCTTAGTTAATAGAATTGAAATGAACGAAACCTTCCTTGTTAATTTCCTAATTACCTCGCCCACTGACGTCAATTTTTACTATTAAAAATATTGAAACAAATTTAATGAGTGTTTATTTCTGTTATTAATAATCAGCATTAATTAAATGAACATCAAAAGTTTTTTTTATATCATTATCAAATTCATTTGAAAAGTTTTAATGAAAGACGTAACTAAGACCTCGGATAGTTGGAAGCGCACTCACGTGTTTCACTTTACCTTCGCCATGTTGAATGTCAGACTGCAAGCGGATGACAAAATGACAAATGCATTTGGGATATTTGTTGTTTAAAGAAACAGGTGACAAGGGGTGAGTATAAGGGATGTGTATATGATGTGTGCATTAGACGATAAGATCAGAATGTGTAACTCAGAAATTTACATTTCATCGTGATTAAGAAATCAGCAAACTATACCAAAGTGTTGACAAAGAGAAAACATATGTCCCTATAATGCCTACACTAATCTTGGATGCAATCGAATCTTTTTGAGTCTTTACGACAAGCGGAAAAAGCTGACCCCCTTATAATTAACTATGAAATAAATATTTTATTTGTAGAGTCTCGAGCTAAACTTCTGTGAATGTAAAGATTTTGCCTAAATAAGAGGCGCGTGAGCCTTCACACTAACCTGAGTCACTTTGGCCCTTGTATTAATGTTAATTACTTTTCAGCGTGCATCATATTTTCTTTAGCAATATTTTGATCTTTCTTATTGAGGCCCCACCCTGTTAACAGAGGTCATTATATGAACAAAAAATGTTTCCACATGAGCAGAGGATGCTACCACATTAAAAAAATTAATCATAAATTTGCTGTTATTTAGTAAAGAATTTTTAAGATTTTCCTCTATGTAATCCCTATTTAGTAAAGAATTTTTAAGATTTTCCTCTATGTAATCCCTATTGTGGCCCAATTACCCAACCCAACCCAGGAATCAGGATCTGAACAATTTGCAATCTTTACTAGTGTTCCAGGAAGCGTTCAATCTTTTCTGGCCTAAGTTAGTGGTTCGTGAGAAGAAGATTTTTTCCCTATATTTCAATCAAAACTTTGATTCCCTATTGTGGCCCGCCCTTACCCAGTAAGGCAAAATTTGAACAATTTAGATTCTACTTTTAGATCTTTTTTTTCAAAATACAGAGGATTCGTCAGATAAAGCTTTTCTTTTAAAAATAACTCTTATGTTACTATCCTAACAGCTTCATGCATTTTAAAAGAAATTATAATGTACATGCATGAACAACTTTTGAACTCTACTGTAGTGCGTTGTTTTTTGAAAATTACTGCTGCTGCAGGCTGGACGTGGTTTCGTTTTTCTTTTCAGAGAAAAGCTTCCAAACTGCTTACGTGTAGGAATAAACAGTGACGAAAAACAGGAATAAACGAGGGAACACTAACGACGATAAGATAATAGGTAAGACTGTAAGACAAAGCACCGATTTGCATTTAAAGCGGAGAAATTTCTACTTCAAATTAAATGAAAAACGCGAATTTATATTATTCACAATTTTGATTTAGTTTGTTAATTAAAAAAAATTATCGAATTTTTATTTTATGCCATGATGTACTAGTAACGAAAACGGTAAAGAAAACAAATTCTGTGATCAGTATCAAATCAACAAACAGTACAAATATACCCTTACATTCCCAGCGTTGTGACCAGTGTGCCTCTGGAGGAGGAGTGTGTATCCCAGGTCGATCGGTAACACCTTTTAATATTGATCAGGTAGACGGAATATCCCGTGGTCAAATCTAGTAAATGTATTTTAAAAAATATACAACAACAACAAAGGCCTAGCAATTGGTAGGAAAACACCCGTTGACCCCAATGATAGGTCATGTTTACTAACAAGGTCATTATAAAGAACATCATTGGCATATTTATATATTTTGAAAGTTATCCTAATTTTATAGAAAAGTAAAGTTCAGATTCAGTTTGTTCACAAAAATCAAAGTAGTGCTATTCTCTGTCATCCTTAGACTTTCAGTAAGGCGTGGCATTCTCATTATCACTGGATTATTGCTACACTCGTTGACATTCTCCCGATCCGATGCACATGACACCGACTTTCTAAAAGAGGGTTCATTATTGTAAAGAAACCAATCAAGAGATTGTTATCAGACTTCATCTATTGAAACATATTGATGAGAGCTATTCAAATGCATCAACATTTTTGACCTTGTCCTTTTTTTTTTACTTCAATATTACGGCCGATTATTAACCATAACGACTCTTCTTCTTTAGTGTTTAGCTCAATTTTTAAGAAACCATTAAATATAATTATGATTATCAAACTTCAAATACTGATACATACTCAGCTGATAAGAGATATTCAACTGCATAAAAACACCTTGAACCTTGATCTTTCCTTTGACCTTGACCTAATTTTTTCTTACATCAGTGTTATGCTCAATTTAAAGTAACGTTTCAAGATAGTGTATTGAAATATTATACAAACAGAGGCTATTCAACTGCATCAACATTTTTGACATCAAAGCAAACCATTCCGCAAACTTCATATGCTGATACATACTGAATAGGACCATTCAACTGCATCATTTTTGACATCAACCTTTACCTCATTTTCAAACATAAAACATTATTTTTATATTCTTTTCAAATTCTGATTTACTAAATGAATGTTCTACCTTATGGCAACAGCCAAATTGGAAGGGGATTCCAAATGCAAATTTATATAGTGAAACTACATTTAAAAATAATCTGATGACATATCAGAAACGACTCCCAATAAGGAGACTCTTTATATCACTGAGTTGAGTTTTCAAAGATTTTACTTCAGATACACCCATGATGAAATCCTGTAGTTTTTGTGGCGCCCACACAACAGAATTACTGAGGTGTAGTCGCTGTAAGGCGAAATTCTACTGCTCCAGGATGTGTCAACAAAATCATTGGAAAGAGGGACACAAGATGGAGTGTAGAGAGGAGAGAGTTGAAGGTAAGACGAATACATACCTGTAAAAATGAACAGTTCTCTCAATTCAATAATATTCAGTGGTTGATGTGAATATCTGTAGAAAAGAAGAACCTTTGTGAGTGCAGTTTTTGTGGCGTCCATTCCTCAGATTTAAAGAGATGTAGCCGATGTAAGGGAAAATCCTGTTGTTCACAGGACTGTCAACAAAAGCACTGGATAGTTGGACATAACAAAGAGTGCAAGAAAAAGAGTAAAGACGGTAAGCCAACAGCTTTACAAGAAAACGATGTTTTAAAAACTAAGGACAAGCTTTTACCAAAGAATGAATGACTAGATCAAAAATTTCATAAACCTTAAAATTTCTTGAGATTATTATCATACAATTTTGAAAACAAATTGAATTCTTTTTATTCACATTAAATCACAATTTAACCAAAGTTTAAAATTGAAATAAATCGCAAAAATTGATTTTGATCTTGGATTGTACGTTCTTCTGAAAGACTCTACATGGAACAGTCTTACAGATTTAAATACTGTGCACATTTTATTGCGACCACTTTATTTTCAGTAGACGAGACAATTGAACAACGATTTTTCCCAACATAATGTTACAACTTTTATTTTGATAGAGTTAACTTCACCAGTGTTGACATGCACTTCTTGCAAGAAACCGTCACAGCAGGTAAAGAGATGTAAAGGATGTCTACAGGTGTCCTACTGCTCCAGAGAGTGTCAAGTTCAGGACTGGGCCCAGAAACACAAGGATGAATGTGTGAAGATACATGCACAATCAAATAAGGGCGATGGTTTACAAGAAGTGAAAAAAGGTGACTAGACATATGCTGTCTTCATAAAAAGACATCCATTGATGAAGCTACCAAATTTGAATCGCTTTATGTTTGTTTCAAGATCTTTAATATGCATTATATTATACGTTTTATTTTGATAGAGTCGACTTCACCAGTGTTGATATGCACATCCTGCAAGAAATCGTCAGAACAGTTAAAGAGATGTACAGGATGTCTGCAGGTGTCCTACTGCTCCAGAGAGTGTCAAGTTCAGGACTGGAACCAGAAACACAAGGATGAGTGTGTGAAGATACATGTACAGTACAAGGAGGATTTACAAGAAGTGGAAAAAGAGGACCAGAAAGATGATGTGTTCAGCAAGGAGAAGAGCGATAATGGTCATAAATCACTCAATATGTGTACTGTATGTGGCAAAAAGGGTACAATGAAAGTATGCCAAAGGTGTAAAATCCAAAAGTACTGCTCTCCGGAATGTCAAAAGGCAGACTGGCAAACACATAAATCACACTGCTCACAAGAGGAAAAATCAACAAGTAGGAATGAAAAGGTTTCCGATGTTCCATCGCCAATATGTGCAAACTGTAGAAGTCAAAGCGCCAGACTGAGGTGTTCTGGCTGTAGGGTTGTTTACTACTGTTCGAAAGATTGCCAGATGACAGATTGGAATAAACACAAAACGTCGTGTAAAGCATACAAGTCTCAGCCTAAAGTAAGGGAGACGCTCACTATTGGAGAGTGCTCAATGATGGGTCTTGTCACACCAGAAGAACACGGAGGCAGAAACCAAAATGACGGGAAATTACAGTTAATAGGAGAAAAAAGCGATTTCACAAATTTTTCCTGCAATCGATGTTTACAAAAAATTGCCCCTGGGAATTTCAATGTCACCTGTAACGAGTACAAAACCGCAATATACTGTTCAAATCCTTGTATGGAACTGGATAAATCTGAACACAGGAAAACATGTGCAACATCCTATATTCCAGGTTCAGGTAATACAATGTCGTCATGCGTTAAAAATGACGCGAACGGTCAATCTATAAGACTGGACATTTCTCCTTCCCACGCCCATTTACCCTACACAAGAAATCCGTTATTTGTTGAAGAAAATGTGGATTTGAATTGGATCGTGGAAAGAACCGCGCAATCATGCAGTGAGGCGATAGAGAAAACTAAAAGAAAGTTTCCTTATTACACTATGATTACCCGTCTCAGAGAAATTCCAATAGAGGAGAGGTCAATGCTTACTTCCAACATATGTACACTTCCGTATGTGTTTCTCGCATACATAAGAAGATTCCATAAATACAGGGGCTGTCACAATGTATACTTGCAGGTAAAATATTTATTTTAGAAAAATTAAATATTTAATCCCTGCATCACATACAGTCTGTAAGGATATTATTGGCAAGTATGAAGGATCCAACCTTTTAGCTCAGAATAGATATTTCCCGATCACGACATGGATTACACGACGGGTGTGACCGGTCGACATAGGATACTCACTCCTCCATGGCACCTGATCCCACCTCTGATGTGTCGGAGGTCCGTGTTTGCTCTGTTCCTGTTTTGCATTGCTTTATGAACTTTGATATTGAATACTGTTTGCTATCTCCATATCCTTCATGAAAGTGTAAAATGGATTGCTTATTAAAAAAGGCTTTTGCTTTGATAAAGTTCTCAGTAATCGTCTCCTTTGTGGTTAACCTTATAATGTTTAATTCTGGTAGTGTTTTAATTTCTTTTCAGGATTCTGAAAGGCGTGAGATTTATGCTTCCTTCTACCTCCCTAACGACGATCCAACACCATACTTTGAGTGGAGTGACCTTGTTCCTGGCAAATTCGTGGCCATTTTGTTTCCTTGTATCCATTTCTTTCTAGATTCCACTGTTGGTTTGCGCGTGGATAAATCCAAGAACTTCTACTGTTTTGATGTTGAAGACTAAATGTGAATTAATGCGGGTTATGCTTCCTTACACCTTGCAAATGACGATTCGAAGTTTGAACATTATACTTTGAGCGGAGTTACGTTGTTCCTGAAGTTGTTCTTGCCATTTTGTTCATGCGCCTATTTCCTTGGTGATTTTTTTAATGACCTGTGTTTTATGAAATATTTTTTTTTACTGTTTTTATGTTCAAGATCAGATTTTCTGACTGCATATGTGCAATTATAAATCTTTGGGAAAGTACATCAGCATTGTTCTCTTTTAATCTCATTTAGCTATTCTAATCGAAAAGTGGCCGGGGTCCGTCTGTTATATGACTGATAATGATGAAAGTGTTTTGACTATTTCAATTTTTTAAAGATTTGGGGACATGAAGGAGGTACAGTGGGCCACGGCAGAGGCTGTAGAGGAACAATTAGTTGCGTGTCCCAAGATTTACATCTCTTACAGGAAACTGTGACATTTCATTGGACAAGTAATTGCCCATCCAGGTGGAAGTATTCAGCAGTTCCTGTATTTTTAGCTATAAATATCAAATGATGTCTTTTTCACGTTTCTTCAGTTTTGTTTTTGATCTGTCTCTCTATGGCCTTTTATCGGTTTAAACTAGAGCTTTCATAGGTCACACGTTTTACTTAAGATACCTTATGACAAATCTTTCTTTGTGACCAATATATTCGACCTTGACTTCGGAGTTTGCAACTTTTTTACCAAACTTCAACCCTGGCCATAATTTTTTTAAAGGACTGTGCAAGGGCTTTTTTAATTCACGAGTTTTTCGACGAAGGAGACAATTACTACGATACGAACATATGTGATCTGTTGACCTTAGCGTTTGAGACAGGCCATATTCTTGGAACCATTAGTGATTGGGCTTTTATATTTCACATTCTTGTGAGTTGTGACAAATCCTTAACTCGGATATCGACACTTGGGTATCCATTACCCTGTCAATGGATTTTGACTCATCATAGTTCATATGAAAAGAACTTTCCTTGGGTACCAACATTTGATCTTGGAGTTTGACCTCCTTTTTGAAAAGTGTTTATCTTTTCCTTAACTTTGACATTGGTCATAACTTCTGAATTTTTGGTGCTAAGGCTTTTCTATTTCACATGTGTTTTCCTTGCAATACTAATAAGTCATTTCTTGGATACCAAAGCTTGTGACCATGTACAATGTACATGCGCATGTATTAATTGTGACGAAACCTTTCATTTGGTCCGAACATTTTGACCGCTTGCCTTTCGCCCTGGATTTTGCATTTTAGAATTTGGGGCATTTCGGAGATTATTTGCAAAATGTTGTAATTTATATGTAGTGATGCAGCAAAAGGAATCACCGTAATTATTGATAAACCACCACCACCAATGTCCTCTACTCTTTAATTTTCTGTGTGAAATAGGGTATGGTGCTCTCGGTATATTCTCCACAAGTTTTTATTTTGCAAAATGACTTGTGAAAAAGTTTACGTTCAATGCAAAAAATGTATGTATTATTTGTCTGTTTGTTTAACGTCCCATTCGAGAGAATGTCTTATTCATACTAAGACGCAATTATTTGCCGGCCGAGGGTTGTTAAAATATCAATTAAGTATTAAGTGCATAAGTTATCCTGACCTACCACTGAAAAGGGAGTGGGGTATGATTGAAAAAAAAATTAATCCACTAATTAAGGATGTTTGCATATATTTTTACTGTGAATTTTCATAAAAAATGAATTTTCCTTGTAGCCCAACCCAATCCCTTAGGATAATAATTTAAACAAACTTAAAGTTACACTATTAGAGTATGCTTCCATTTAAATATGACCCGTCATAGCTTTCATCTTCTTTAGTAGAAAATTTCGAAGATATGCTCATATGTAAAAAAAAAAAAAATAATGATCGTCCATTGTGGCCCCACAAGATTTGAACATACTTGGATCTACACTTGGAAACTTTCACATAAATAAATCAAATCATCAATGAATATATTTATTTTCTGTTCCTGAGCGGAAGATTTTCATTATTCACATTCACATTTTTCCGTTTATTTAATTATTCAAATATAAATGTATGCCAAATTTTGCAAGTATTTTAAAAAAGTATGTGTTATTGAAGTTTCTCAAGCTTTTACCCGACGTCGATAAATAAAATAAAATTTACACGTACAATATATATACACATAAACATATTAGAAGCTGCACACACTATGCAATTCATGTTTACACACAAAGAATTTCCAGAAAGTTTGTAAGTAGTACGTCTTTCAAATATATTTGCGCTTACTCCTCCTTAAAACTTGGTCTCTGCATGAGGCAATTAAACTTAGAATGGCTGACTTTTGATTTGAGCCTCAGTTTTCCACATTTACTTCCTTGCGTTTAAGTGAGACTGAGACCAAAGATGAGCTTGTTTAAGTTTAATTAATCCAAAGTGTGATCCACCTCTGACGGTTTTGCTCTGTTTTCTATCGTATTCTTTACTAGATTTATTAGATTGACCACTGTTCATTATTATAAAATACGAAATTAACCGAAGCAACAAAAATAGCTTCCACATCAGAAAATAACATTATTCCTTTCGATCACTTTCTTGAAAGTATTCTTGTGTTTTTCTGTTCAGGATTCTGAGAGGCGGGAGATTTATGCTTCTTTCTACGAGGGGTGATCAAAAAGTTCGCAAACTATCTCTATATCTACAAAACCACAATTCAGATTAGAATGAAATTCGGTACTCAGATAGCCATACATAAGGTCTATAAAAAGCATATTCTGTATAAAGTTTTTCTCCTTGTTTGTGACGTCACAATGTGAAAATGACGTCACTATTTAGGTCACTTGTGACGAAAAATGGTTGTCTCAGTCGAACTCGTTCAACAAACGACTGTACAATTTATTGTAATATCTTAGAAATCCCTCTGCAGTATCATATAATAATTTGTACACAGTTTATAGAGATAAATGAGTTCCTATAAATACAATTAATGATTGGATAAATCGTTTTAGTGAAGGAAGGCTGATGGTTAAAAATGATACTTGTCATCTTGCGCAGTGAAAGCAAGTTTGAAAAGATATGTATTTTTAATTAAGCAATTTGCTATCAAAGACCTCCAATTAGCACTTTGAAAAAATAGTTGAATATATGAACAATGATATAAGTATTAAATATCTAAGATATCGTTTACTTTAGATTTTAAACATATTACACTTTATAAAAAGGATGCACCCCTTCTCTATCCACCTTGAATAAAGGTCTCTCCTGAGACAGAAGATTTGTGTTTTAATGGTCGCCATGCTTATTTTTGGAAAGGATGTTATTATCCACCCATTCTGTTGCCGAGATATGACCATTTCTGACAAATGAACTGTTGTTGTCATAAAATTAACTCACATGGAAAGAAATATAAAACTCGGAAAAATCTTTCAACTTTTGTGACAGAACACTATGGAGGGGGTCACGTGACCGCCAATATCACGTGATTCGCGCATGCGCAGAACGGTGGTTGATTTGCATTAAAATCGGGGAGGATCAATTTAAAATGTAATCAACATTAAAACCAAATAACAACAATTTTTAGAATAATAATTGTATTTATGTATTGAATGCGATAACTTAGTTGGAGGTTTCCGGTAGGTTTAATTTTGGTAGATTGTGAAAATTCTTAGATCCACGCCTTGGTTGATGGATTACATATAATAGGTGTAAGGTCACGTGGTCAGCTCAGCGAGTCATTCAGTTGTATTGTGATAACCCGCATGCTGACCACGCTAACATCAGGCACGTCTATTTTGAAGATTTGTTACAACGTCTGTGATTGTTAAACTTAGCTGAACGTGCCTTGGCTTTCTGTCGAGATGAAATTCCAAAAGAATTGAAAGGAACAAAGTATTTTTCATGTTGTAAAGTGCCGTTTACAAGTGCGTGTAGATTTTCTGGTTTACTGTTTACTGATGCGGTGACCAGTGCATGTGCGCGGGTTATCAAAGATATTACCTGATTACTATATGATACACTTGGTGTGTACATATATTTATGTTATTCTGCCGATATGAACTTTAATTATGAACAGATATTCACGAGAAGAACATATTACATGGAGCGATTTTATTGAGATATCAAAAGTGGAACTTTTTCCTACAGTCTGAGTTTTGAAAGGATTTCAGAGTAAGCTATTTGTTACTGATTGAACGAAACAAACGGATACCTTTAATGATTACTATCTCTATATCGATCAGCATGATCAGTGGACACAGAGTTCGATCAGCAAAAAGTTGTGATAGATAACGAACATCCTGCAAGAATCTGCTGCAAGCATCGCTATTTCACAGCTGGGGCCACAGCGGGAGACCCCGAACCTCAACGACTTGGGCGTTTTAGGTCCAGCCGGCGTACACCTGTGCTGCTTCACCGCGTGAATAAGAGAGTTTGCCTTCCCATGCAAATTGAGGACGAAGGCCAGTATCATGTTTACATAAAGCGCTTGCGGTTTCCAAGTATAGTTTTTGTGTATAAGTTATCACTTTCAATTATTTGCAATCAAAGGCATTGTAAACATACTAAATACTCAAATTGTATACTCTATGGTGTAAGCTTTTAAGTTAGCAATTTTATGCAAAAGTTATTCAATTTTGTTGAACTGCAAGGAGAATTACCTATCATAGTTTGCATACTAACTTCATGTTTTTGCATTAATTTTAACATGATGTGTAACAGCTAGGCAGCAATGTTAATGCACTGCCCTTTCCTTAACAGGCATCTATTAGGTAATGTCTTCTATCTTGTAAGGTTAGTTGAGAAATCTGTATTGTAATCATGTTAATACATGTCTCAATATCTCATTTTCACTCTTTGGAGTTTAAGGGTTGTGAACCGAGCTTATACATAGTTCACATAGTTACAGATACTTTGGTATTTCTTGAATTGCCCATTATTGTTTGATCAGTTTTGGTACAAAGTTTATTGTAACGATTAATGTTTTCTATATTGATAAATATTGAATGGATATTGTACAAAGTCTAGGTAGTCAATGTATATGTACTAAGTTGGTTGGTGTAGACAATATTAACATGATTACTCAATATGTTTATCGTTTCGATACAAGGTGGATATTTTATGCTCTTATTGGGTTGGTGTTGTTAATGGTTTAAACTGTTGATACAAAATTGATAC